TAAAAAAAAAAAAAAAAAAAAAAAAAATAGAATGTCTGTTCCTATCCAATTCTTTCAACAGCAAATGAGAAATGGTCATTTTTAATCAAATAAAAATAGTTTACCACCAACAGGTCTTGGGAATTCATATATAAGAAAATATGAAAAGTAAAGAAATTGTTAAATCTGTGTAAAGCTAAACTGCACTAATTATATAAAATAGTAATGATTCCATATTGAACATTATAATGGACTGTATGTCTGTATTTTCCCCAAATTCATATTTTGAAACCTTAACCACCAATGTAAAAGGTTTTAATATAAATACGTAGGATGTTTTCATAGAGCTGAATATAAAATGAGTAAAAATGTAAGATGTGATGAGGTCATGAAGGTTGGAGCCCTATAGATGAGACTAGAGGCTTCTAAGGCACCGAGGAGTCCAGAGTTCTTTCCTACCACCACGTGAGAAGGAGCAGTCTGCACCCCTCCACACATCCCTCAGCAGAACTTGATTTTGCTGGCAACCTGATCTTGAAATTTTAGCCTTCAGAAATGTGAGAAATAAATCTCTATTGATAACAAGCCACCCAGTGTATAGTGCAGTATTTTGTTTTAGCAGCCTGAGCTAAGATCCACATTAAAAACAAAGATACAGAGTAAATAAAATAGTGCTATGCTATGCTCTATCATACAGGGTAGGGTCTGTAGTATATGCATTTTTCAGTAGCGAAGGAAACAAACTCTAGATAATGTTAACCAAGCATAATAAAAAAAACTTTAAGAATAATAACTTAGGGGAGAAATGGATTTCATAATTTCTAAAATAGTACAGGAGGGAAATGATGAATTGAGAGCATGAAAGAATACATTTGGGAAAAGATTTAGGAAATAAGTACGATTAAAAACAATGCACAAAATAAATGTTAGAGATGGATAGTAATGTATCAGTGATCACAGATGTAGGGATACAAAACTTGTCTTCTTAGATCAATCTTTGGGTCACAAAAATTTAGATTAAAAAAACCCACTTGTATGCTATTTATAAGAGCCACTTATACATAGGGTGTAGACTGAAAGAAAAATATGGCTATATCAGCAAATACTAAACTTACAAAGCTTTTGCACATGTGTTACAACTACATGAATTTTAAGATAAAAAAGGATTATTCCAAATAAAAAGGTTACTTCAAAGTGGAGATGAAAGATCCAATCCTGTTTTCCAAGAAAACAAAACAGCCTCCAACTTGTGATGGTTTGATATTACAATGGTTCAATAGAAACTTCACTTCAGAGTTTGGATTTTGACCTTTTTCAGGGTGGGCTCTTCTCCTGGTGTGGCACAGTAGCAGTGAGGTACAGCTCTCAGGAGAGCTTAGCTGGCCACATGATCATGAGGTTAAACCCCTAGTGCTGTACATTGTCACTGTACAATTGTGTTGTGGAGCTCTGATCTTTGACAGCTTAGGTATGTTAGATGCATTTTTAACTTAGGAAACTGGTGAGTTTGTTGAGACATAACTCCGGGGTAAGTTGTGGAGTCCCTGTACTTTGTAAAATCAAATGATAGAATTATAAGAATGGATATTGGAGTTTACAGTGGTCTATTAACTTTATAGACTTGTCTGACCTTTCTTAGAAAAGTTAGAGATTCAACCCCCTGTTTTATTCCTTAGAAAATTGCCCTCCACTATGTTTACCTGTACACATACAAGATGATTGACAGCAACATTGTTTGTAAGAGGAAAAATTGGGAAAAAACTAAATGTTCATCACTGGTATTCTCGCTGTGGTACATCCATTGAATGCAATACTATACAGTATTAAAAATGAGTGTATGTTTCACAAAATTAATGAGAGGACTAGAAGCTCATAAAGACAATGCTGACCAAAAATGATGTTATAAAAGAACATTTCCATACTTTTAAAAGGCAAAATTATACTGTATCTTGCTTAGGATCCATCATGTGTATCTGGTTAAAAAAAAAAAAAATAGAAAAAGGCAAGAGGTTAATAAATTTGTTCAGGAGAAAGGCTGTCTCTAGGCTGGGGATTTAGCTCAGCGGTTCGGTGGCCTGCCTCACAAGCGCAAGGACCCGAGTTTAATCCCTGGTACCAAAAAAAGAAAGGCTGTCTCTGCAGAGATGGGGAGGTGTTGTTAAGGAAGGCGAGGGGATCAGCAGGTGCCCTGTCCTGGCCTTCCACAGTTCAGCCAGCTGGTGGGCATGCATGTGTCTTGTTACTTACTGCTTTTTAGGTCTGAAAAAATCAGTACCAAGGGGATAATATAAATGTATGTTAGGAAGTTAAAATATACTATCTCAATCTAAAAATATATTTAAAACAATATTTTTAGAGATATATTTGAGGAAAATTTGTTAAAAATTTCTTTGAATGTGCATAAATCTTTTTACTGATGCACTAAGTAGTAACTTGTCTGCCATTTGAACAGAACAATACTAGTCATTTTATTTCACAGTTCAGTACAGGCAGACGAAGTTGGTGTGTTGAATTCCCAGTGGCAAAGATGGCTAAGGAATTCGGACACTTTCAGTCTTCCTTTTCAGAGGTGTCTTTTTCTTAAGAGTCCGAATAACAGTAAAACAAAAGCAAAAGTAATTTTGATTTTTAAAAAATTTACCAGGAAAATGTCTTTGATCATAGAAATTAAAATACATAAATCAAAGTTAAGTTGTAGCTTTTCAAAACTTATCCTAAACTTTGTTAAAAAATTTAATTCTGAAATTTTAATTTCTAAGAATCTCTCTGAGATTATAAACAAATAGCACTATTTAGATGAGGAATTGTCAAACTTTTTTGGTTCAAGATGTCCTCAGTATTCCAGTAAGTTTTTATAGTATTCTGAGGCCAGAAACATGACTAATAGTTCAAGGTAAGTAGTTAGATTAGTCACCCAAAGACCAGTTTTATAAAGTATGATGCCCAGAAAGATATGTAGTGAAATTCCATGTTGCCATTGTGAACAATCTTCAGATAGTCTTCAGTGTCCAAATGTTGATTGCTATTTTCACTGAAAATGTAAAATAGCTCATTTACCCTTGTGATTCTGCTGTGGCATCCCACAGACCTAGACAAAACACCCTCCAGCCTGACATCCACCTTAATAAGGAGGGCTCTGTATTCACTCATCCACTCTCATTGGTCTTTACTCATTGACTGCAGGAGAAGCCATACAAATGCTCAGAGTGCAGCAAAGCCTTCAGCCAGAAGCGGGGCCTGGATGAGCACAAGAGGACTCACACTGGAGAAAAGCCTTTCCAGTGTGATGTGAGTTTGAATTCTCTTTTCTTTCTTTAGTGTCTTGCAGTAACAGGAGTGTGTGTGTGTGTGTGTGTGTGTGTGTGCATGAACATGCTCTTGTGTACTCGTGCACTGTCACACATCCATGTGTGTATTTGGTTTGTAGCATATCCAGTCTATGCTGGATAATGTCTTCCACTGTTTATAGCTTTTGATTGTATAACTGTGTAATCACTTTGTAGTTGTTTTATTCATCACAGTTTACTGACTGCAAATAAGCTCTGATTTTAATGTCATTGAATTGTCTTCCACAGTTTAAATTCACATGATTTAAAACAGCTTTCATATGTCTGCCCAAATCTTTGGTAGTTTAATGAGAGTTAAACCAAAGCTTTGGTTCATCACAGATAGCACTTATTTTGTTAAATCCAAACAGTGGATTTCTAAAATACATTTAAATTTCTTTATGTTAAATAATGCTGTTGAGATTTTTCTGCTCATAACATTTGAAAAGAAATGGAATTAGGTGTTTACATTATTTTTTAAGTTAAAAAGTACTACTGATCTCAGTAAATTTAATCTGAGCTTTGATTAATTTAGGAGAAATTCTCAGCCAAAGGAGCCTTTTAGGAGAGGTTGACAATTGACAGAAAATTGATGCAGGTATTTAGGAAAGCACAAGGATAGTTATTTATGACAGATGAATATCAACAAGAATAAGAAGGAATATTAAAGCTGTAGTGTGTGAGACAGCAGTACAGACTCTCTGTCATGTTGAGAGACGGTCAAGAACATAAATTCATGAATGTGTCCCCGTGGAGAAAGTGTAGGGTAAGCAGTCCCGGTGAAAGGAAGCTCAAGGACACAAGATGTTTTCCTCATCCTTCTGTGAAACTCTGGTGGTGAGGTTAAGACAACAATGAATTAAATTACCTGTGGTCCTGCTCATAAAAATGCCTTTATCAACTGTGCACCTTAAAGAAATACCCACAGTCTAAAGAAATGTGCACATATAGAGCACATTCTCATCTGAACTACAGTCTCAGCTTAATAAATTAAATTAGTTTAATTAAGTACTCCTTTTTGGAAGCATTTTTTATAAAGACAAAAACTAAAGGACTTAATTGTATTCTACACAGACAACCAATAAGGGCCTTAACTTAAGTATAATGATGTATGGACATCTTTATACCATCAGTTAGTATGTCTTTTATCTATGAGGAATATTTTCGTTTAATATTTCCAATTGTGATGTTATTTTTAAACTACTTATAACAAACATGATCTTTTTTATCTACTACTCTCTCATTTACTTCTATGAAATCAGAACTCTCCAGTCGTCACCTGTAGACCAGCCTGGTACAGTAGTAAAGATTCATATTTCTAGGTGTCTCATAAGCTTATCTGAAATGCATCTGGCTCGAAAGAGCCCTAGCTGTCATTGCTTCAAAATCTTGTCCTCAGAGCTTTCTCATTTTTAATCTATTCACTTGACTTCTAATCTCTTCCTTTTAAAGAACACTCAGATCCATTTTCCTCTCTGTTTTTATTCCGGATAGCAGTGCATAGCTCAGACACTCATCCTTTCTTATATACTATTTCCCGTGTCTGTGTCCTCCATTCAGAGTACCTTGCCAAGGTGCTATTTTTTTTGGCGAAAATTATATAACAAAATGAATCATTTAAAAGTGAAGAGTTCAGTGTCATTTAGTACACAGTGTTATACAACCTCCACGTTTTTTTTTATTTGAAAATGCTTTTGTTGCACCAAAATGAACTTCACACTCATTAAACAGTTAATCTTTATTCCTCTAGATCCTGGCAATTATCGATCTACTTTTGTTTTTATGGGTTTGCCTATTCTGGATATTTCATATAGATGAATCATACAATACATGACCTTATTGGCTTATTTTATTTAGTTTATTGTACTCATTTAATCTTTACTGTAGCAGTTATAGTAATTCTTCATTATAGCTGGATGATATGCCATTGTATTTGTATAGAACAATTTGTTTATCCATTCGTGCATCCATAGACACTTGGGTGGTTTCTACCTCTTAAATATTATGAATAGTGCTATAATAAACACGGGTTTATTACATGAAATGAAAGCAGAAAGGAAGTAATGGATCCGAGTGTTCTTTAAAAGGAAGAGATTAGAAGTCCAGTGAATAGATTAAAAATGAGAAAGCTCTGAGGACAAGATTTTGAAGCAATGACAGCTAGTGCTCTTTTGAGCAAGATACATTTCCGGGAAGCTTATGAGACACCTAGAAATATGAATCTTTACTACTGTACCAGGATGGTCTACAGATGATGACTGGACAGTTCAAGAATGTGGGTGAGTACCCATTTTCCATTCTTAGGGTATATACCTTGGAATGGAACTGCTGAATCACACAGATTGTTTTAATTTTTGAGGAGCCTCCATCCGTACTGTTTTCCACAGGAGCCAAACCATTTTACTTTTCCACTGACAATATGTGAGAATTTCAGTCTGTGCGCATCCTTGCCAACGTTTTTTTCATTTGTTTGTTTGATTAACTATAACTGTCTCATTGGGAGTGTGTATCTCATTGTGGTTTTGAGTTGCATTCTGGTAAAGACTAATGACACTGAGCATTTTTCCCTGTGCTTCTTGTTCATTTTATGTCTTCCCTGAAGAAATGTCTGTCAAGTCCTTGCAAGTTTCAGAATTATTTTGTATTTTGTTGCATTTGCCGCTGTGCCTCTCTTAACACAAATTTAATATTACAGATACCTCTCCCTACACTTCAGTACAAAACAATATGTTCTTTGCAATTGTATTCCTAACTGAAACGATAGACACATTGTATGCAGTAGGTATTTGTTAACTGAAGATACTTACATAAAACTTTAATTACCATATATCAAGGTATTTTCTATTAAATATCTTGTTTCATTTATACTTTAAAACAACTTTTTATAAATCTCTGGACTAGTAAAATAGTAAAAAAAAAGATTTTCCCAGTCTTTGGCATCTGAATTAATGCTGTCAGTAAAGGAGAGAGTTGTCTAAGATTTCAAGTGGGAAGAAAGGAAAAGAAACATCCCTGTTGTGACACATGAATTCATTTTTGCTCTCCCCTATTTTTAAAGTGAATGATTTATCCAGACCATCATTTATGGCTGATTTATCCAGACCATCATTTGTGGTCTTTTAATGACTACACTTAAGATCATGAACATAAAACTTTTAATTTCTAGGTAGCCAGCTTCTCAGCTGTGACTTGAGGTACTGTACTATACTGTGCTGATATTTAATCCCCCATTCTGGTTTTCACACAACAGTCTATTGGATTGTTTCCATCTTATCCCCAGTGCAGAGCTTCTAGGACTTTCTTCATTTACAGCCATTATCAGTGGTTTCAGCATCTTGTTCAGCTTCCTTTCCATCATCTCCATCTTGCTCTTGCTATAATTTCCCATGGTGATTGTGTAAATGGACTTAAACAGTGTATCCTCCACCATACTACACTGGTGAGCTGAACTAAGAACTTACCTTATATTTTAAAAGTCATTTTTAGTTTTTCAAATAGTGTTAGCCAGATGAATGGGAAAAGTAAGATGAGCTCACATCTCTGCTTGCAGTGAAAGTTTTTACTAGCACTTGGCCCTTTGGAGGTGGTGTTGGGCTGTGAGCTTTTGGGTTATAAAATAATTGCTTTTTAACAAAGGAAGATGAGAACAGTCTCCAGTTTCCCAGTTGATGTCAAGTAGTATTTATCTGTTGACATTTCCTCACCTACCTTCCTTCCTTCCTTCCTTTCTTTTTGTTTTTGTTTTTGTTTTTTGAGATAGGGTCTCACTATGTAGCTGAGACTGACCTGGAACTCACTATGTAGTCCAGGCTGGTCTCGAATTCACAGCGATCCTCCTGCCTCAGCCTCCTGAGTGCTAGGATTACAGGAGTTCTCCACCACACCTGGCTCTTCCTTCCTTCCTTCCTTCCTTCCTTTTCTATCTTTCTTTCACCCATTAAGTTTATTGGTACATTTAACACAAACAATACAGTTACATGTATTATTGGGATCTTGTACCTTTACATGATATGTCTTGGTTCTTATTTTTTCTCTATACCCTAACCCTCCCTTCACCCCCTTCACCCTTCCCTATTTACAAAGACTTTATTTCCATTTTGTTAATATTTTTTCCTGTCCCTTATTTCCTTTCCTGTCCCCTTCCTACTTCAACTTTAACCATTTTCTTCCTATTTCATGCTATGAATTATACCATTTGAATGCTACACTTTTAGTTTTTCACATCAGAGAAACTATTTGGTATTTACTCAAGTCTGTCCTATTTATTTCACTTAAGAGTATAGCCTCAATGTGTATCCATTTAACTATAAAGGTCTCTAGTTTCTTATTCTTTATGGCTGAGTAGTACTCCACATTATAGGAAAACCACATCTTCTCTGGTCTCCAGCTGATGGGCGTTTGGGTTGTTTCCAAGTTTTAGCTATTACAAACTGTGCCTCTATAAACATGGGTGTGCATACATCACTGTGATATGATTCTTTTAATTCTTTTGTAAAGATATCCAGCAGAGGGATAGTTAGATCCTCTGGTCCTAGTTCTTTGAGGTATCTTCATGTTGATTTCCATAGTGACTGCACCAGTCGGAACTCCCACCAACAGTGGAAAAGGTTTCCTTTCTCCCCACAACCCCACCAACATTTGGTATTGGTTGATTCATTGATAGCAGCCATTCTTTCCAGGCTGAGGTGGAATCTCAGTGTTGTTTTCATCTGCATCTCTTGAATGACCAGTGATGTTGAACATTTTTTCATATATTTATTTGCTGCTTTTACTTGTTTGCCTGAGAAATGTCTGTTCATTTTAGATGCCCATTTTTGAATCAGGTCTTTGTGTTTGGGGGGGTCTGTTTTTTTGTTTTTTTTTTTTTGTTCTTTATGTATTCTAGATAGTAGTCCTTTATCTGAGGAGTAGCTGGTAAATTTTTTCCCATATTGTAAGTTGTCTTTCAGCTCTGTTGGTGGT